TCAAGAATTTAACAAAAGAAAGCTACAAAAACGTCACATATGTTGAACACAAGTATTCTTCTAAATATAAATAGTGATAATACCAGGGATAGGAATTATGTAATTTCCCTGATGTAGAAGCCATGCTAAGGCTAATTGAGAAGGAGTGCATGTATGCTTTGAAGCCAAGTCATTGGTTCTTTCATAGAAGCACTCGCTCTTTTCCAAATTTTCTCCCGTGCACCGGGATGCATAGTCTATTAAGAGGATATATGAAAGATTTGGCAAATATATCAAATCAACTGGAGTATAATTGCAGCCAAATGCCCTCTGAAAAGATAATATTTCAATTTATGATCACTACTTGAAAACATTTTCAAAAGATCAACACTTTGTATATTTTCTTACGAACGAGAATCATTACAAAGTTTGCCTAAATGATGGCGTCTTTTCAAAATACTTTCAAAAACCACACAAAGTATATTTTCAAACAAAAGCAAGTGATCTAGCAAGCAACTAAGAGCCCGTAGATAACTACGGATGAAAAGGGTGTTAATACCTTCCCTTTTCATAATTTATCCCCCGAACTCAAGAAAACATCTCAAAGGTCTTTCATGTTCTTTTCAATCTTTCCTTTTGGATAAAAGAAAAGTCGGTGACGACTCTTGCTAAACCGCAACATTTGCGATCAAACGCAAAACAACCAAGTAAGCTCTCCCACTGCGTTATAGAACTGGAGAATCTGTTGGGGATTACTTAAAAGTGGGGTTACCTTAGGGTTAGATCACATTTACTTGCTTACTTTGTTTGACTTGCATGTTTTACATTATGGTTCCTTGTTTGGGCATGCTTTGATCCTCCACCCGGATCTGGGACACCTTGTTAGGTAAGTAGCAATAGATTGTGGAAACTGTACGACATAGACCGATATGGTTGAAACAATGGCTACGTTAGTGTGATGCATTTGTGGGTACCAGTATCCCTTGTGTTGAATCGAGGAGAATACGGGGCCGCTGAGTGGCGTCATGAAGCACTAACTGACTTTAGAACTTTAGTTGAACAAACTTGGTCAATTAGGACGTAGTGAGATAACCGGTTTCGGTGGAAAGCTGAAAATTGATTAATACTCGATACTACACTCATTGAGACTAGAGTTTTGGGATATCCAAGCCGCAAGAAAAGATTGATCGTGCTGGGACAATGTCTAAAAGAAAGGTCAGTGATATTGAGATCCCTTAGAACCCGAGTACTATTAACTAGGACAGGTTTGAGCCAACTAAACTTCAAGAGGGTACTTATCTACAAACTCCATACAAGCCTAAGCCTAAGGAATTGTTTTGCCTTGTGCGTATATGCTTACTTGTACATAACATCATGAACATCATAACATCATACGCATGCTACCTTTTGCCGTACTACTGGTCAGGTGGAACACCAATATGGGTCTTGCATAGTTTGCTGTCGAGACTCCTGAGGATGTTCTATTGTGAGAGAGGGTGTTCAGCTGCTGTTAGACAATGGGACTATCAAGATCACAGGACAGAGAGATGTTTATCACGAGATTGATATGGTTGAAGTTTATTTGATGGAAGAAGAGTCAGAGGAAGAATATGCCTCCGCGGATGAGTATTTTTCTTCAGACGAAGATTTGTTTGCCAGAAATGACCTTTTAAGGGCTGATTGTGTTGAGGAAGGTGTAAATGTCATTGTACCTTGTTTTGGTGCACCCGCTCATCTTGAGGTGGAGTACCATAGCAAACCAGCTGTTACCCCGTTGGTAATTAGTCTGCCAGGACCTGTTCCCTATAAATCGGGTAAGGTTGTGCCTTACAAATACAACGCTACAATCTTAGAAGATGGGGTGGAGGTTCCCATCCAACCAATGCCAGATGTTGGGAATATAGCTGATAATAGCAGGGTGACCCATAGTGGTCGTGTGTTTGCGCCGGTTATTCAAAAAGATGTTGTTGCTGGAAAGAAAATTGCTGAGAACGATGAGCCTAAGAAGGCTGCAGGAGAGACTAGTGGAGCCACATTAGAGAAAGAAGTGGATGATATCCTGAAGGTAATTAAGATGAGCGACTACAAAATTGTAGATCAGCTATTACAGACTCCTTCAAAGATATCCATCCTGACATTACTGATGAATTCCTCCGCTCATAGGAAATCATTGATGAGAGTACTAGGCCAAGCTTTTGTAGAGAATGACATGCCATTGGATCAATTCAGTAGTGTAATTGGAAACATTACGTCATGTAACAACTTGAGTTTCTGCGATGATGAGTTACCAGATGAAGGGAGGAATCACAACCTGGCCCTCCACATATCTATGAACTGCAAGAATGACTCGCTATCTAATGTGCTAATTGATAACAGATTTGTGTTATATCAAGAAGTACCCTCATGAAGTTAAAGTATCAGAGAACACCTATGCGCCCGAGTGGCATCATTGTGAAGGCTTTTGATGGATCGAGGAAATCTGTCATCGGTGAAGTGGACTTGCCCATCCATATAGGACCACATTTGTTCTTGATAACTTTCGAGGTAATGGATATTATTCCCGCGTATAGTTGTTTGCTTGGACGGTCATGGATACACGAAGTAGGGGCTGTCACTTTAACTCTGCATCAGAAGCTAAAGTTTGTGCGAGAAGGGAAGATAGTGATCATAAATGGGGAGCAGACATTGTTGATATCCCATCTATCCTCTATCAGTATTGTAGAAGCGGATGAGGTTGCTGTTGGAATCCAGTTCCAAGGCTTATCCATTGACAACATAAGGAAGAATGAGAATTATGTGGTTTATAGAGGAATGCAATAAAAAAGGAGGGAAAGCTCGAATTATGCAATTTACTTTTATAGAGACTATCCATGAGAGTTAGAGATATAGGAATCAGATTTGTTTTGGTGATAATAGTTGTCAACAGTTAAGTGTCCACAAGATTATTGATGTTGTAGTCTATAGATATTAGGATAAATCTAATCTCAGAAAGCATTTGTACATGCTTCTAATGCCTTAGGTTTAGTCTCGGTTGTCTTTGGCATTTTTTTATGTAACCTTGATTGTAATTAGATTCTGTAGGATCACTTTGCTCCTTGTCTGTTTTTTTAATCCTCAATAAAATTATTTTGATTAAAAAAAAAATCTAAGACATATTAATCATTAATCAAAGTCTATTAGATTTATTTTTCTCATAATTTAAATAATATTGTCTCAGCATAGTAATGAAAATTTTCAATATATCAAATTTTTATTTTTCTATCATTCAGAAATTAGAGAAGCTCTTTCAAGTAGAAAGAAATTTCAATTACATTTCTCTAGTAACATGGGAATATGAAGTACTTCAAAGGAGTAACTACATAAGAATATACAAAAACGATTCCTAGATTGGCTTCTAACCACAAATCCTATAGACATTAAATGTGTTTCCAAAGAACTCTATTATACAAGGGATGTACCCTTAACATATTCTGTGAAAGCCAGAGCAATCAAACCCAACATAGCAATTCTTCCATTCCACAACTCTGCATCTGAGGACATGACATCTTTAGATTTAGACTCAACACTAACACCTTGAAAAAATGGAATCAATGAAGCAAGTGACAACAATACACTTGTCCCCAAGAACCACGGAACTCCACCACCAGACAATTGTTCAAACAAACCCTGCCCTTTTGCTATCTCCACCCCCATTGCTGCTACAAAACCAATCATAGCCAACCTTCCATTGATCCTCTCAGGTGCTGGCCCACCAAAAGCCATCAAATCTGAAAACTTTGTGCTCATCTGCCATATCATCATCATTATTATTTATTATAAGGGACTCATTAATTTGGACCAAAATCAATGCTTTATAAATCTAATTTAACAGAAAAACAAAGTAGTAATTTTGTAATACTATGCTCACTTTTGGTATACGAGTAGAGGTTGGTTGTGGTGTTGGTGTCGATGGTGGTGCAACTGGCTCTTTCTGCTCTTCCTGGATAATATAATAAGTAATTAGCAATGAATCATTCATAAATCATAGACATGTTTCATATGCGCATATCCTTAAAATCAGTTTGATAAAAGCATAATTACCTCAGCCATAGATCGAACTTTGAGGCTAACATTTCTTCTCAAGCTTGGAATGTAGACAGAAGGGATGTTGCTAATTTGGTTAACTCTAGACCTGCTAGAAATGTTGGCCATAGAGCTTAACATGATAGATTGATAAGATGAAACAGCCATTGATAATAGGATAGTTTTGTGAGTCTCTACACACTTTCACTACTACACCTTATATGGTAAAGAAATGGTAAGTATTGCATACAAGAAGGTTGTTTAAATAGAATAAAATGAAAGGTCCTAAAGGTTATTGAAAGGAAAATGCTGTGGTGGATATTTAGCTTCCACGAATCTGGTAATTGGATCACGTGGGTTCATTTGTCCACACATGGTAAAAGCATCAAACGTGGCTCTAGTTAGAACCAGAAGGTGCTACACTCACAATTTGAGGTTAGAAGAAGGGTTGTAAACTTGGAACTTTCAGGACCTCAACTGTTGTCTGTTTTTTTACTGCTTATTAGTATTACTTTGGTATAGTCTAGAATGATCCTTAGTTAGCCAAGAACCTAAAACTCTTCAATTTTAACACAATATTTTTGCTCTAGCCTCGATGCTATCTTTCCAAATCGCATTAGCTGGGAAATCATGGAGAGTTTACTCAACATTTCTTGCAACTATGATGGCATGCATTTAATTAATCTTGGTTTTAATGTTTATATTATTGGTGTTAATAAATATGCAAGTAACAGACAATTTGTGTCCAGTAATAAAAATATAGTGACAGTTAACAAGGGTATGACATGGATGCACAGGGAGGGAGTGGCAGCATAAGTGCATAACTGCTTTGCCATTTACCATATAATAAATTGCTTAATTCCTATTCACTTTACAGTGATTATCTTATGGAGATATAAGGATAGTGGTGGAATACAAACCATTGTTTATTACAGGATTGCACAGTTCTCTCTATGCAATTACTTTAGTGGTGGTGTAGTTGAAAACTCCCACATATATTGTGATAAACTACCATAGTCTCGTTTACCGGCAATTTCCTCAACACGGACTGCATCAGATATTTCCTTCAACTGTTGTTCTGTAAGCTTCACATTCAGAGATCCAATGTTGTTTTCAAAGTTTTTCATTTTAGTAGTCCCTGTGGTATCAAACAAATATATCATAAATCACTTGGTCAATTTTTCATTTTAGTAGTCCCTGTAGAAATCAATATATTTATTTATCCACTAGTCATAAAGAGTGTACATATCCTTTGAGAAGGTACAATTATGCTACATTGTAACAACATATTTGTGACAGAACCCAGAAAATATGAACATCGAGTATTATTTACTGCAAATGGTGAAGAATGATAGAAACTCAAGAATTTGATATGAACTGCTAATCCGGAGTGACAACAGGAGAAATACATAGAATTGCAATGAAAATGCTAGTCCCCTTGTTTTCATGTTTTTCCACAAAAGATGATATTGGAAGCGTTATCTATATGTGACTCAGTTGTAAGCACATACAGTTTGCAAATTATACAATGAATAATATGTTACCTTACCAACCATGAATTCATTATTGATGTTTGTGTCCGTAAATATCTGATGTATTGAAAAAGGTGTAGGTAATCCCTCTATTATTAAGAGATGTAAGTATAAACTAGGTCAATTTCAAACAGTACCCGGAAAAAAAAAAGTTGGGGTTCAGGTGGCTAGGCTCGCTGATCATGTTGGACTCGAAGGGCAGCGGCTTGTAATCCCTCCACTGTCAAGAGCCGAGAGTAGTCGCTGCTCTGTGAAGCCAGCCTCACGCGGTGCCCTTCTGTCTAGGACCGACGAGAATTGAGCTTTCGCTCAGGCCCCGTTGATCAACTCTCAACTTGGAGCGGGCAAGCCAACATTTGCATCTTCAGGCCCAGAACAGAGAAACCAGAACCATGTTCCCCCACCTTGATGCCCTCGCTTGAGTTACAAGTTGATGCTATTCAACTCGGCAAGCTGACAGCTTTGTCATACATTTATAAAGGCTTTTTTATGTTGTAAATTTGTCGATGTGGGACTTATCAATAAGTTGTGCAAAATAACTAATGTGACTTTATGTGAAGGACAAAAAAAGCATATGATGAAAGCAGAATGTAGTAATATAAGATGTTTACTGTCATCAAATATTAGATGTTGCAGATTGATGTTTGAATAACAATGAGAACAAATAATCAATGGCCATATTCCCACTGAATCTGAAGTGAATCCATTGTCTGTTGCATGAAAATAAAACTCAAATTGTGATAGTAAAACCTATATATTATTTTAAGAACCATCACCATACAACAAACCCATGGGTAACATTCCAACAATATTGAAGGATCCTTTGAGAACAAAAATCATAGTATATATGCCAAAAAGACATGAATGTATTTGTTGTACCGGTGACAACATATGGTGCTACATATCATTAAAAGCAAACTGATTTATGACATTACTATATGGATTAGAAACAGATGAGGTTTCAACATTCATTTAAATTGCATCTTTAAGCATCTCTAAGTTTATAAATACTTGTAATCAGCGACACTAAAGCCTTTGCTGCTCTGTGAGACCAAAAACTAGAAAAGCTAAGAGAGTGAAGGATATGCAGAGAATGAAAAAAAGGGTTGAAATATTTACTGATATAATTGGATAATGACAGTTGAAACAAAAAAGTGGTTGTTCAGGTTGGCTACACTCATCTGAGTTATCAGTCCACTGTCAGGAGCTGGACTGATTCGCTACTCTGTGAGAGCCTCCCTCACGCAGTGTAATGAAGGAGACTAAAGCCTTTGCCAATGTTCCATCTGGGCAACTCTACTTGGAGCGGGCAAGCAAATGTTGCAATCACCATCCAAACTTGGCAAATCCTTAACCATGTTCCACCATGCAATCACCAACCCTACCTTGTTAGATATTATAAAGATCAATATCTGTCATGTATTACACAATATGGAACATATTTTATCAATGTTAACTACTGTAAGACTTCTTCCTCTCCCTGCAGGTTTAACTCTCATGCCTAATGAGCTATTGAATTAAATTGAGGTATGTTATTGCCGTTTATTTTGTTTTCGTCTTAACCGCATGTTGTTTGTGTTGAGAAAAAGTAAAATTCAAGTGGTCTTAACCGGTTACTTCTCGACTGTAATCAGTCACCATATCAAATAGAAATTTCTTGTAATCGGTTATCATTTTTGGGCAACCGATTACCACCCAAGTTAATAGTGTCACCTAGTCGGTTACCAGAATGTGTAACCGATATCCAATTACATCTCCAATATTTGGCATCAAGAGTTTGGTTGTTTGATCAAACACTAAGTGTGCGAAAATGATTTCCATCTCCAATGAACGTATTCCTGCAAATCTCTCAATTCTCGATGCGAAGAATTATGATAATTGGTACAAACAGATGAAAGTGTTGTTTGTTTATCAAGATGTTCTTGAAGTGATCAAGAATGGTGTTAATTCATTTGTGGAAGGTACAACTGCTGCACAAAGGACTGTGCATAAGGAAGAGAAGATGAAATATTTTAAAGCTTTATATTTGATTCATCAATATGCTGATAACTTTGAGAAGCCTGGTGATTGCACATCCTCAAAGGAAGCTTGTGATATTCTGGATTTGATTCAGATGGAAGAGAAGGAAACCATTAGTAAATTTACTACAAGAATCACAAGATTGGTGAATCAAGTGAAGGCTTCTGGAGAGATAATCATTGAGCAATATGTGGTTGCTAAAATGTTGAGATCTTTAACACTATGATTCAATAATGTAATGGTTGCAATTGAAAAGTCTGAAGATCTTTCAACCATGAGCAAAGAATAATTTTGAAGTTCTTTTAAGGCTCGTGTGCAAAGAACGGGGGAGATGAATGTTGACAAAGCAAAGAATGAGATTGCTTTACAGACCTGTTTCGTTGGAAGAAACAAGAAGGTGAAGGAAAGGTGGTCCATGAATAGAGGTGGAGGAAACTATAAGAATAATGGTGGAAAGTGTAACAGCCCAGGATTGCCTTCAGGATTACCGACTGACTCCACAAACCAACACATGTCTTTTCAGCATGATTTGGCCTCACTCACACGCTTTCCAGGAAACTTCCCAGAAAGTCACCCATCTCAAGATGTGTATATTTTATCTCTTGGAATATTATATTGTAGGTAATGGCACAATTGTCTTCATCTCACCATCTCCTATCATAGAGGATCAAAACTAGGGTTTGGATTTTAATCAGGAGATCTTTGGATTTTTGAAAAATACTTGATCCCATACTTCTCTACATAGTCATGAGCATCTATAATTGGAAGTTTGATCATCAACTTTGGTTTGAAAATATTCAATTGATGAAAAGGGATAAAATGGTCATTTTGTCAGGAGATAGATGAAATCAACTGTTGGCCAAGTGAACTCTTGGTTAACTATCAATTCAATATCCCTATTCTCACATTTAATGGTCAATATTGGCAAAAATATCAAGAGGAAGTGTGAATTGGAGATTACTTGTCAAGGAAGTTATTTGAAATTTTGAAATTTTTCAAAGTATCCATATGGCTGAATTTTGATTGGCTACAACTTTCTCAATTTTTATTGAAAATGTGCAAACTCTATATGCCTAGAGAGAGGATGAAAAATTCTCAAACTTTATAGGATAGGCCACAAGTCCAAAAAATGAAAGGAAAAAAAGTTATGAATCTTGGAAGTTTTTTGACACTTAGTGAAATTTTGGATAAAATCCAAAAATCTGACTTCTTCATGTCCATTTTTGAATGACCATTTGGACTCAAACCAAAAAGTTGGCAACATGAAAGTTGAATATTGAAGTTTTCTCTTCATTTTTAATTCAAGAATCATCTCAAATGGTTAAGTGTAGAAAAAGATATGGTGATTAGGATTTTGAGCTGAAAAGTGTCATTTTGCCCAGCATAAGGTAAGTCAGGCGCGCGCTAGGCAAGGAATTTCATCAAACATGTTATGGACGCGCATTCATCATCACTTTTCTATGTGAAATATTCATTATTTTGAAAAAATTTCAACATCAAAGATCAAGCCCTAAATTTGAGGAACAATTTTGCTTCAGGAAGTTTCTTAAAATTCTCCCTACATCTTGAGATATAATTGTGAGAAGAAGGCACCATGCAAACTGAATTTGTTGCCCAGCAAAGCCTCACGCGCACGCAACAAGCCCAGTCTGGCTTAGCATTTTATCAAATAGTTTTTAAGCACGTTTTCATGGCCAAATATCTCATTGATTCAAGCTTAATTTTGAAAAAATTTGAACATAAAAGTTGGAATATGTAATGTCCTATTCATTTTTTATTCAAACCTACTCATGTTTCATGCTCCATAGAGAGATATAAGGGAGCAAAGAGATGTTCATGAAATATCAAATTTGCATGAAAATGTATGGTTTTTATTTTGTGCAACCAAGTCCAATTGCCAGCTCATGCCCCCAGCCTTGTTTCACTTAACCAAAACGCACGTTTTGCACTCCCAAAACAACATGAAACGCGCAGCATCTCATTCCCCTCACTTATCATTTCTCTCACTTCTCATTTCTCTCACTCCCTCATTTTACACTCTATAAAAAGCATGTCATTCAACAATTGAAGGGGTTAGAAGATTGTAAATCATAAACAAGTAAGCACATCTCTCTCTTCCTCACGCATCTCTCTCTTCATTGCAAGCAGAATTTCTTCTACTCTCTTTTCTCTCCTCCGTTGTCAAGCAAGAATCCTCCATCTTTCTATTTTCTCTAAGTTTCCTTCGCATCTCTCTTTATTAAATCATCACTGCATCTTCAAAGCAAACATTTCTGGAGAGCTATCTCTTTATTTGAGCTCAAGCATCATCAAATTCATTTCAAGATAGATTTTCCATTTTTCTCACTCTCGACTGCAGCTTGCATTATGTTTTAATCCATGAGCTTTTTGCAAAATCCAGTAGCATATCTATATTCCTGGCATTTTTGTGATGAATTTTCATTTTTGGATCATTTAATTTGGTGGAGAATTGAAGGAGAAAATCAAGTTTGAAATCTATTTGATGAATTGCTCAAAACAAAACCGTGTTCATGCATCCGTTTTCGTGCGCGTTTTTCTCCATCATCCAGACATCATTTCATGAATTTTTTTATACTAGCATGTTCTACTAATTTCCCTCTTGAACTTTAGTGTTGAAATTTTTTATTTTCATCAAAACTACGCAAGTTATCGTGACCTAAAAATGCTATTTCAAAACTAGAAAAAAATAGAAATTATGACAACTTGGTAGGGATGACTGCGTGGCAGTCGGTGATTGAACATGGTTTTATTTTCTTTTACGATACATTTTTTCAACAACAGGTGTAAATAGCATTTGCATATTAATTTTCTTTTTTTTTTCTCCAATTTTCTTTAAATATTTTCTTCACTTCAAAAATCATGATAAAAATACTCTT